TGCTGCTGCTTCTGTTGCTGCTGCTGTTGCTGCTGCTGCCATGGGGGGCCCCCTCTTAAAGGAGAATCTTTCTTTGTTAGGAGACGGCAGCAGAGGATAGGGAGACACCCCGTCATCAGCAGCAAGACTTTTATACAATTCTCCTTCGTGCTGCTGCTGCTGCTGCTGCTGCTGCAGCTGCTGCAGCTGTTGCTGAAGAGGTTGCTGCGGCTGTGGCTGCGGTTCGTCCCGCTGCAGCTGCGTTTGCTGCAGCTCTTCCTGCTGCTGTTGCTGCTGCTGCTGCTGCTGCTGAGGCTGCAGTTCTTCACGCTGCAGCTGCGTCTGTTGGAGGTCCTCCGGCTGCGGCGAATGCTGCTGTTGCTGCTGCAGCAGCAGCAGCAACTGCTGCGCACCCTGTTGCTGCTGCAGCACTTGAGAATTGTCCTCCTGCTGCTGCTGCTCCTGTTCCTCCTGCTGCTGCAGCTCGCCCTGCTCCTGCTGCTGCTGCTGCTCTTGATGCATGTCTTCCTGCATGTCTTCCTCCTCCTGTATCTCTTGCTGCTGCAATGGCGGTTCCTCCACCTGCTGCTGCGGGCTCTGCTGCTGTTGCTGCTGCTCCTGCTGCACTTCCTGCTGCTGCTGCTGCTGCTGCTGCTGCTGCTGCTGCTCCTGCTGCTGTCTCTTCGCCAGCACCTTGGGTCCCCACCAGGCGGTAAGGCTTGGCGCTTCAAGCAGCAACGGTGTGGCTGCATCAGCTGCTGCTGCTGCAGCAGCTGCTGCTGCTGCAGCAGCCGTGCTGCTCGAGCTATGCTGCATCTGTGGGGTACCCTCTAAAACTACAGGGGGCTTAGGGGGGCCCCCTAGGGGGCCCCCTAACCTTTGCGGTGTCTCCGCAGATTTAAGGGGACTACCCACTGTACCCTGATTGCCTGCTGCTGCTGCTCTCCTGCTGCTGCTGCTAACGGGGCTGCTGCCAGTGCTGTTGCTGCTTTTCCTGATACTCTTCGTGCTGCCGCTGCCGCTGCTGCTGCTGCTGCTGCTGCTGCTGCTAGGCATTGGTATTGAAGGCCTCTCTGGCAGGGGGCCCTCCGAGTCGCTGCTGCCGCTAAGGAGGTCGTGGGGGCCCCCCCGGGGGCCCCCATAAAGATACAAAGAAGGGGGTGCGCTGCTGCGAGGCTGGCGGCGGCGAAGATAGGGTGTAGCAACTGCAGCAAGAGCAGCAGCAGCAGCAGCAGGTACTGCTGCTGTTGCAGTTGCTGCGGCCTGCGCTAGAGTGGCGCTTGGTGGAGGAGAAACGGCAGCAGGTGCAGCAGCAGCAGCAGCGGGTGTATTCAGAGGTGCTGCTGCTGCTGCTGCTGCATCACTGGTAGCAAGAGCAGCAAGACCTGTACTTCCCTGTCCCCCATCACGAGGCGCATCTGCAGCAGCAGCAGCATCTGCTGCTGCTGCTGCACCAACAGCAATAGGTGAGGGAGGGGGAGAAGCCTCTCTGCTGCTGCCTTCTTCTTCGCTGCTGCTGTCGCTGCGCAGCACAGCACTTTGTCCCCGCAGCAGCAACCTGCGGTGCACCCTCTGCAGGGCCCTAACCAGCCGTGCAGCATCACTAGAGGGGTCCTCAGGTAGTGGGGGGCCCCCAGGGGGGCCCCCCGTAGAAAGAACCCCTCCTGTGGGGCCTCCATAACGCTCAGGAGGTCCTGCTGCTGCTGCTGCTGCAGGGGAGGAGAAAAGACTGCAGCGGGAACTGCTGCCAAAGGAACGGTAACGGGGCTGCAGTGGGGGGGCCCCTGGGGCCCCCCTGTGGGGGGGGCCCCTTAGGGGCCCCCTATTATTATATTTAGGTATAGGGGACTCCTCTCCTGATGAAGAACTTTCTTCATACAGCTGCTTACAGGTAGCAGCATCACTACTCCATGTAGCAGCAGCAGCAGCTGCTGCTGCTGCTGTTGCTGCTGCTGCAGCAGAAGGGAAGTGTGAATTAGGATCTGCTGCATTGGGTACGGGGCAGGGAGGGCCCCCATGGGGGCCCCCCTCCGCAGGAGGTGCTGTTGTATCTTTATTAGGTTTATCTTGGTCCCCTATTAGCTGCTGCAGCTGCTGCAGCTGCTGCTGCTCCTGCTGCTGCTGCATCAGTGCTGCTGCATTAAGATCAAGGGACCAGACAGAGGAGAAGCAAGGATGGCAGGGGGCCCCTGCCTGTACCCCTATTGATGTTGCATGGGGGGCCCCTTTAGGGTTCAGTACCCTCTTTGTACCCTCCTCTATACCCTTATCTCTCCCTTCGCTTACATAGTCAGGAGGGGGCCCCTCCCAGTCCCTCTCCTCTTCTATGGGGGCCTCGGGGGCCTCCTCCAGGGGGCCCCCAGAGGGTACAGGGGCCCCCAAGAGGTCCCCAGTACCCGATAGGGCCTCCGCTGAGCGGCGGTGGCGGCGGCGATCTTTGCGTCTCCTTCTAGCCTTCTCTGTCTCCATCTCCTGCTGCTGCTGCTGCTGTTGCTGCTGCTTGGAGCTCCTGCTGCAGTCGCTAAGATGGCTGCTGCGCCCCACCGGGGCCCCCAGGGGCCCCTCATCAGGAGATTCATAATCGGGTACTTTTCTTCTTGAGGATTTGTGGTGTTTCCTTCGTCTTTCCTGCTGCTGCTGCTGCTGCTCTTCCTGCTGCTGCTGCTGTTGCTGCTGCTCGTCGCTAGGTGCTGTAGAAGCAGCAGCAGCAGCAGCAGAGGCGGGCACAGCAAGACCACCAATAAGACCAACAACAAAAGAAAAGCTTTCTGCTGTCTCCTCTGGAGGCCTTTCTCTCTGCTGCTGCTGCTGCTGCTGCTGCTGCTGCTGTTCCTGTTGCTGCTGCTTATGCTGCTTGTGGTGCTGCCGCTGCTTGTGCTGCTCCCTCTCATGGCTGTAGTCATGTTCAGAGGAATTAGCAGCATCTGCTGCTGCTGCTGCTGCTGTGTCTGTGTCTTCTGCTGCAGTCATGTCTTCTGCTGCTGCTGCTGCTGCTGCTGCTCTCTTACTCTTATGCTGCCTCTTTTTTACCTTTGATGGGGCCTCCTCTGTCTCCTTAGTACCCTTTTTATTTATTTCTTTTTCTCCTTTATCTATGGAGACAGGAGGGGCCCCCATGATGGGGCCCTTCTGCCTTCCTGACGAGGTATCAGCAGCAACAGGGGCAGCAGGAGCAGGATCAGCAGCAGGAGCAGCAGCAACTGCAGCAGCTGCTGCTGCTTCTCCTTTGCGGCGCTTCCCTACAGGAGGATCACGAGAGACACATTCGTCAGACCCTGAGGGTACTCTCTTGCTGCGTCTTGATTTGCTGCTGCTCTTCCCTTGCTGCTGCTGCTGCTGCTGCTGCTGGTCGTCCTCCTCTTCCTGCTGCTGCTGCTGCTCCTCTTGCAGCGCTGATGGCCGCTTAGTTGCTTGCTTCTGCTGCTTCTCGCCATCATGAGCGGCAGCAGCAGGAGCAGGAGCAGCAGGAGTAGGAGCAGCAGGAGCAGCAGCAGATCCTGTTCCTTTCTGCACGTCCTGCTGCTGCTGCTGCTGCTGCTGGCCTTGCTGCACCTTCTCCCCTGCCAGCAGCGCGGATGTCCGCTGCAGCGCCAGCCTCATCCATGATCCAGTACCCAGGCTTCCTACAGAGCGATTAAGGGGAGGGGGGGCCCCCGCTAGGGCCCCTAGGGGCCGCACACCCCCAGTAAGACCGCCTGTAGGGCCCCCTGTTAGACTCCCTACAAGAGGGACGGCACGGGGAGCCTGGGGAACCCGCATGACCAATTAGGGTTTAGGGTTTAGGGTTTAGGGTTTAATAGTAAGAGGAAGAGGCCCCCAAGGAGGAGGTACTCATGGGGCCCCCGAAGCCCCCTAGATCAGGTGGGGCCCCTGGGGCCCCCCAGCACTACACAGGGTACCTAAAGGGTTAAAAACAGGTAGTACCCTAAAGATGGTTGCTGCTGATGTTGCTGCTATTGCTGCTGCTGCTGCTGCTGCAGCTGCTGCTGCAGATGTGTATGTCGGTGTGCTGCAGCGGGAGCTGGGGGCATGGGGGCCCCCGCACCCCTGGTGTACGTACAGCTAAACAAAGAGGAATAAAAAAGAATAAAAAGAAAAAGAAAAGAAAAGGAAAAGACAATAAAGTTGTTTGTGTACATAGAGAAAGAAAAGAAAGGGAGAGGTGGTGGGGTCGGTGGGGGAGGGCTTGGGGGCCTGGGGCCCCCAAGGTGTATATAATTAGGGTTTAGGGTTAATTTTTTTAGGTTTTTTATGAATAAAATAATATAATTAATCCTTTTTATTAATTTAATTAATTAATTTAATTAATTAAAAGAAAGAAAACGCAAAAATATACACTAAGTGCAGCAACAGGCAGCAGCAATGAGACCTCCTCTGCACACCGCGAAAAAAACACCAACAGCCTAAACCCTAAACCCTAGCCCTAAACCCTAAACCCTAATCGCTAATTTCTTAGGGTTTTATACTCCATTCTATAACTATTAAACCCTCTATTAAGGTAATTAGGGTCTCCTTCTCCCCTTCTCTTGTTTATAATAGTTACCTTATTAGGGTTTAGGGTTTAGGATTAGGGTTTAAGGTTACGGTTAGTTATTATATATTAATTGGGGTGCACGTACACCTCAATACTACAATAAACCCTCTTATTAATAAATAAATTAATTATTAATTATTTCTTCTTTTTCTCTGTTTTTCTTGTCCTTATCTATACTAATACGCAATAAATAAAGGTAATTACCTAATTAACTAATATATAAATAAATAAATAAATAAATAAATAAATAAATAAATAAATAAATGTATATACCCGCATAAGTTTATTAATTTATTAATGTTTATTTATTTATTTATTTATTTATTTATTTATTTATATGCTACATATAATATATAGATATATAATAGGGAGGCCTATTGCCTGTACCCTTTTTCTTATTTATTCCTTACCCTTTCCCTCTATATAGAGGGGGAGGGTACGGAGGGAGGGGGGCCCCCTACCCCTATAACAATTCCCTAAAATAAGGGAATGATTGGTGGGGCCCCTTTAGGGGCCCCCTTTATTAGAGGGGCCCCCTTATTATATATATAAGGAAGAAACACAAAGAGGGGCCCCTCCCTATATATATAAGGGGGGCCCCCTATTATAATAATAAAGAAAGATGCATAAGAATATATATAATATACACAAGAAATAAATATATATATATATATAATTAAGAAGGGGAGAGGGGCCCCCCCCACCCAAGGGGC